TAAATCTTTTTTTTTTATCAAAAGTCAAAGACAAAGAGAGTTTTTTTTTACATTTTTTTATTGATTCATAATCATTTTACAGTGTTGTGTCAAATTCCAGTGTTCAGCACAATTTTTCAGTCATTCATGGACATATACACACTCATTGTCACATTTTTTTCTCTGTGATTTTGATTCTACCCAAAGTAGTGTTAGGAAGAGAATATAGATTATACTTTTGCTGCACCGAAGAGATTACCTTTCTCTTTTTCCTGTCTGTCTGGTTCTCCTTTTCATATTTCACTCTCTTTTCTCTGACTTCTGCCCCTTCCTTTTGAAATTCTGCAGGTTGTCCGGCCATATCAGACCATGTCCAATCCCATGAGCAAGCTCACGGTCCTCAACAGCATGCATTCCCACTTCATTCTGGCTGACAATGGGACCACTGGAAAATATGGAGCAGAGGTGAAACTTAGGAGACAACTGGAAAAGCACATTTCACTCCAGAAGATAAACACAAGTAAGTCGATACTGTTCCCACTTGTGCCTCATAGGAAATATGCTGAAAGGGAGTAAACTTGAGCAGATTTTGAACACAGATCATCATTTCTACCGGGCCAGGGGCTTGAATTAGAGGAAGTCAACTAGAGGAGGACAATCAGAGGCATGAGAAGTGATTGCACAATTAATGGACTCAAGCTCAGTTACTATGCATGAAAAAATTCAACCCCATATGAATTTAGAAATGCAGATAAACTTCTCTTTCCAGACTTTTCCTCCATCCTCAGTAGTCTAAGGAGGAAAGGCACCCTGGAGAATTTTTTTCTATTTATTAAACTATGTTTGGTGGTTAAAAAAAAAAGAGAAAATCAGATTTTGATCTTTACATAGATCTGACTGTGCAAAGGCATTTCAAGGGAATTGACATTCTCTCAACTAAAGCATGAAGAGTAACCATCTTGATGAAACTTTAATTCTTTTAATTTTATGTATTATTCATTCATTGTCTCCAGATACACACATATTTAAAAATATGTGTATATTTATGGGTGCCACACAATACATATCCCATGGTTACACTAAAATTATCTCCTAAGTGTTTATGTGTTCTATGCTTTATTTATTATGTACACATTTAGCTATGAAGAGGTAGCATTATAAAAATAGCAGTGCCCCCCAAGTCATTAAATGGCTTGCATTTAATATGATAGAACTATGAAAATAATATACTGTCCCTCCTCACAAAGTAAAATTCGATTTGCTTTCACAAAGTAACACCTGGCTCCATGGCAGGCTCAAGCTTTGTGGTAATTGTATGTTCCATCAGGGGAACTTGGATTTAATTGATTGAGCTTACAAAGCCTGCAGTTCCAAATAACAGAAAATTCTCTTTGGCTATGTAAGTTTTCAGAAGTTCAGTGTCACGTGACTCAACATGTCCAGATGACTTTTCTCATCTCTAGTATTTTCTCTGCACTTGTCCGGATGGATTTTGCTTGCTCTTACCCGCTCTCTCCCAGAACTGGGGTGTCAACCTATTGGACTACAACTTCTCTTTCCTAGACTCTCTTTTCTGGTTCCACCTTTTAGGAACTACTACTATTTAAGCAGTCATTTTTCGTATCTTCATCTTTTTCACAGAGAAGTCTGGAATAATACATTTGGGTATAGGCCTGAAATCAAAAATGTATTAGAAAATTCTCTTCTATCTAAGAATCTTCAACTATCTTTGGAAAGAGAAAACACAGTATTATCCCAAGGTAAACATCTTTTGGGAAAAAAAGAGTAGAAAAGACTAGAAAGTCCATTCAGAAACCAGTGGAGATGAAAAGCAACAAAACCACTATAGCCAATGAGAGATAGGTTTTGTTATACTAGAATTGAACTTTATTACCATATTTGATAGAAAAGGCAAATCTTACATAATTAATAATACCTATGTAGGTTTTTATAGGCTATATAGCATGACTTTTTTTTTATATACAGCAGTTTAAGAATGAGCCTAAATAGGAATAATCTGAGAACTGAAGATAGTGGGAGGAGGGTAGACAAAGAGCAAATGCAGGGTCAAGTTCAGTGCTTAGTAAAGAGACTAAATGCTGCCTAATCTGAACATGATTTTTTTCTCTATATCATAATTAGCAGCAATGTATATTAAAAATAAGTTTTTATCCTCTAATCATTTGAAAAATCTCATTTACTTTTTCATTTCCTTCTTCAAAAGTTGAAGAAACCTAAAATACAACAGTGGAACTCAACTTCATGAGGCTCCAATTTAGTCTCCTGAAGATTAGACCCTCTACCGCTGTATCACAGGAATACTGCTCACCACCTATTACATGTGGGATGACCCTGGGGAAGTCTGAATACACTCATTAAAGTTCCTCCTCAGCACTTTGGGGTGACCTGCATACCATAGTAATCTTTCACAAGTCTTTTTTCTTGCATAAATGACGTAAACTTCTGAAGAATATTTTCCTTTATTGAGCAAATCCTACTCAGGAGACCTTTAAGCCCTCTCTCATCAACATGCCAGTTACTAATAATGACACATTACAGGCACCAGCACATCGGACTTTTCTCAGCGTTCTGGCATCCCTTATCTCATCTCTCCCCACCCTCCACTCATTCCTGCTGTCAGCAGTCCTCCTGGAAGTATTGTCATTGATTGCCGAAGAACTTCTCTGTTAAGCAGAATCCTTCAGACATGAGTGATTACCTGCTTAGGAGCACTCTTCCACCTGTGATTTTCTAAACCTCAAATTGAACGTGAAAAGCCTCAAACAATCCCCACCATGCCTTTAGTAAACAAATATTTCTTGAACTTCTATTATGTACTAGTCATAGTTAAGGTTTAGAAAAGTAGCAGTAGACAATTCATTGAGCTTAAGTCAAGAGGGGCAAATGGAGAAATAAGTAAGTAAGTAAATGGGTAAATACATGATGTCTGGTACTAAAAGAGCTGTTAGGAAAAATAAAGCAGAGGGAGGCGTGTGTGTGTGTCGTGGGTATGTGTTTCTACATGCACGCACACATGTGTGTTAGGAGGATGGCTTAGATTAGATGGGCTGGAGTGGCCTCTTTGAAGATGTGATGTGTAAGCAGAGACCCGAATGAAGTGAGAGCCACCACTGGAAAGGGGTTCTGGGGAGTGTGAGCAGGAACAAAGGCTCTGGTATTTGATGAAGATCATGATCTTTGTAAAGAGTTGGATTTTACTGCAACAGAGTTTTGATCTGGCAAGGTACAGGATCTCCCTAATGGATTAAAACATCACTCTGCTGTTGTGTGCAGAGATCAGACCGAGGTAGGGGGCAAGACTATAAGCAGGGAGATGTTTCAATAGGTTAGTGCTGAAATGTAGGTGAGAGATGACAGTGTTTTGAATAAGGATGTCAGCATTAGAGGTAGTAAAAAGTGGTTATATTCAAATATATATATATTTTTTCTTAATTGATCTTTTTAATGTGGTAAAATATACATAACATAAAATTTACCATTTTAGCCATTTTTAAGTGTACAGTTCAGTGTCATGAAGTACATTTACACTGTAGGGTAATCATCACCACTCTCCATCCCAGAACTTTGCATCACTCCATACCAAAACTCTACCCATTAAACACTAACTCCCCTTTACTCCTTTCCTCCAGCCCCTGATAAGCCCCATCCAACTTTATGTCTTTATCAACTTGCCTCTTCTTAGTACCTCATGTAAGTGGAATCATACAATATTGGTCCTAAGATATATTTTGAAGGTAGAGCTCAAGAGGGCTTGCTAATGAATTGGGCCTTCAGGGTAAGGAACAGATACATCAAGGATGCTGCACGGTCACTTACAGACACCAGTGTGTTCTTAAAGGAAGGGGGCTAGTGGGAGCTCCTAGGGAGTAAGGAGTAAATTTTTACACAAAGAGAAAGGAACTGAGGGCTAATCTTGAGGGGATTGGAACAAAGTCCTTGAGCGGGAGGGAGTTGATGAGGTTCAGTGCATAAAGGGAGAACATGCCTTAGGAGAACAGAGGGAGTGCCCTCCAGTATAGTGGGAGGCAGAGCAGAGTACATGGGTGCAGCAAGAGCCAGAAAACTCTTACTCTTTCAATACTGTTGTAAATATATTCTAAACAGTAATTGTTCCTCCTGTCTGAGTAAAGAGTGAAAGGGAGAAAATTTAATATTTCTTCGGGGAGTCAAGCTGTTCTAGTGTCTTGGAGCAATCATTATGAATGCTAGCTAGATTTGCTGAGAACTCTCTTTGGTGGAGGTGTTTGAATTCAGGCTAAATGTGAATTGACCCAGAATATATCTTACAAGTTTAGATTTGGGCCAATATCAGATTTTCTTCTTATAATTTACCATTTTCTTTAAAAAGGAGATTGGAGGAAAGGAACAGAAATGTAGTTCTCTTGGGACTCTATTTGATTAAAGTGTTACTCTTTTGTGTTTGAATTTTATTTTAGGTTTGGCTGAATGCAAAGTTTTATTCAAATTATATTTCTAATTATATTGTGAACATCAACTTTGGTTGTAGGCAATTTCATTATGAGGCAAGAATTTTCTTTGTCATCTTCATACAATAAAGTGAAATCTACATCTGACCAAATCCAGTCTAAGGGACTATGTCCCGCGGAGTCTTTACAGATACACAAATTTGGAGTACTGCTTAATGGGGACGTCTAGGTAGGTTGAGATTTGTGTAACCAGCAATTTTACTATTATCAGGGTTTGCCTGGAAGAGGATTTGATGGTCTGCACTTTCTTTGCCCCAGAGTAATAACTGACATTTGAACGTAGCCTCATCTGATGAAGCCACCAAGAATACTTTTCTCTAAAGTCGCAGGTTAAAATGGGCTTGGCAGTTCTAAGTAAACAAGTAGCAGAAATGATCACAGAATTCATAAAACACAATCAAATTTGGTATTGGAGGATATTGCTATTTAGAGTTCTCTGGGTGGGAGGGGGGAAACCCAGATGTTTTATTATGCAGTCCCTAAGCCAGCACACCTATTCATATGACTGTGTGCATACTCACAGAAACTAACAAAAATAATAATGATAATTATGTCTCCTAGTCGCACAGAATGTTATCCCTGATAAGTTTTTCTTTATTGTAGGAATAGACATTTCCCCTTTCCACTGAGTTATTTGGTACATGAGCCCTATGAACAGGCTAATGTACAGAGTGATGATTCATTGCAGGTAAAGTCATACTAGTTCTAAGAGATTTTATGTTAAAACGATCATCTCTGTGAGTTGATAGTCATCAATTTAAAGCATTTTGCTTCAATGAAATTTCCATAATCAGAAAAAGTACTCATAACTGTATCATTTATATCCTAGTTCCTTTACCACCATTTTTTGGAGATAAATCTTAGACACGACTATGGCAGTTTTCAACTAGGGTGACGCTCCCTTCTAGAGGAGACATTTTAAAGTATCAGGGGGGTTGGTTGACACAATTTCTACTTCTCTGGAATGGCATGAGAGAGGAGGCAGGAATGTGACTATTCTACCTTGTGCAGG